TTAAGGGGGGACGTACCCAACATGTAAGCTACATGTTTCAAGGTGTTTTTGAGGGGGGCCTTGAAAATCTAAGCTTACATTTTGAAGGTATTTTGAAGACCCTCCCCACAAAAACGACACCTGGGGGACATTCAGCGACCAATCTTACATTTAAGGGGGGGGGCAAAAAATGTATCTTACATTTTGGTATGGTCCCCCCTCAAAAGCAGCCTTAAAGGGGTGGTGATTATATACATATATATGTATATTATATATATATATACGGCATACAGGTAGCAATTGGAGTATTATACTACCAGCTGGTAGTAATCAATAAGCACTTGTTCGGTTTGCTTGTGGCAATGTGTTTGGGGAAAATGATGGTAAACCCATGGTTTTTAGGGTAAAGTACTCTTGGATAAACCAATTTTGGCTTGACCTACACGGCCAAATACATCCACGTATACCACTCGCAACTTGGGTTTTAGTCGGTGTTGATCCCAATTTCCTCTGACTGCCTTTGGTCATACCGAGTTACAACCAAGAATTGGCTGTGCATAGTTGCCAGTGTGGGATCATATTTCTTTTATGATGCCCGGCCGCAATGAAGTCAAATCCGGAAACATGTTTGGAGGTGTTTTTTTGCCATGTGTTATTTGAAAATCTGACCTCAAAAAGACTCCAGGTCCTGAAGTTGCATGTTCTTTATTGCATCTTGATTCGGTAATGCTTCCCAACAAACTTGCAAAGGAGGTAGCCTAGAAACAAGCAGGAACCTAAAGTGAGTGCATTCTTTGATGCCTCCAAATAAAGATCCCTAATCTGGGGGCCTTCGAAAAATTCAAATAAAAGTCAATTCTAATTCAATTTCAACCTAGATTCCATTTCGTGCTCAGAGCCAATTCTCATTTAGTTCAATTCACAGCTAATCTAAACTCACATTCAAGTCAAATTGAATTCAAATTCAAGTATATAGGTCAGTTCAAATTATAAACAAATCAAACTGAATTGAAATTCAATTTTAATTGAATTCCAAATTCAATTCACATCCAGTTCAAATTCAAATCAAACCAAGCTGAAGTCAACTTAGAATCACGTCAAATTTAAAGTTTTAAACCAACAATTACCCATCTGTATTCCCAAACAGGTGTCCACATGTTTCCACGAATACATGTCTCAAGCAAGAACACTTTACCTGACTCCATGTCCTGGGTCCGAGATGAGTATGTTTGATTATCTTTGGGGGTATTGTTACTATATGTTACTATGTCAACATACCTGAAATGTGCTGTCATATGATACAATCATCATACATTAATTATAATACAGTATATATATATATGTATTATATAATTATATATTATATACATGTTTCTACAACAAACGCAGGGTATCGCAGGGTTCATTCCACCAAATCAAGAGGACTCCCCTGCCGCCCGTCAAGTTTAACTGCCGTGATACCATGGATTGTGCCGGGGAAGATGCTCGGGACGCCGTGGAGATGGTCGCCGTGGGAGCTGCCACGGAGGCAGAAATCAGCCTGGGCTGCGCAGGGCGATGCAATGGATGGATTACCCTCTGGTAATTTAACATAGCTATTGAAAATGGCCATTTATAGTGGATTTTCCCATGAAAAATGGTGATGTTCCATAGCTATGTTAGTTTACCAGAGGGTAGATCAGCTGATAGCTTCTGGTCCAACATCATCCAACACAATGAAGCACAGACGTGGCAATTGGAAATCTCATGAAATCTCCAAATCTTTTTTTTGGGTGATCTCAATGAAAAAACACATGCTGGAGGGCAAAAGAGAGCATGAACTGGTACAGTGTTCTAGCTTTTCGCTGATCCTCCAAGAACCGCTGGATTGAACGAAACAAGACACGACATACATGAAACAATCCCACAGCAACCCGGCGGTCAACATCCCACAGGGAACTGACCTTTACAGCGCAGCAATCAATTTTTTTGTTGGACGCATTAGGCACCTTTGGATATCTTTGGCACATAGCAGATCATAGCAGCAATGTGACCAGCCAAAAAAAAATCTGCACCGCGTTCTATAACTCTTCATCTCTGCCAGTCCCGTGACTTGTGGTTCATTAGACTTTCATACCACTAATCAAGATTGGATAACTAGACAAAATATATTTGCTTTGACTTGAGAGAATAGACCCTAAGGAATTGATAACACCTTTCCACCTTGGCCACAAGGCGACCTTGGCCCTTGGCCCATCCCAGATCAGGCGCTTGCTTGGGTACCTCTCCGGAGACATGCTTGTGCGCACTGGATATCCCAAAGTCCTCAAAGTGGCTGCCGGTCCACAGCTCGAGCACGTAGCAGTAGCACAAGACCCAAAGACCATACAGTGGCAGTCTTCCCCCGAATCATAAACACTACCCCAGAAATCCTGAAAAGTGGCTACACTACAGTAATCCACCCACAATGTTCCCATGTCCAAAAACAAATAATCTATAGCACTAGTAACAATACAAGAATAGATTCGATCATGAACATAGT